TGAACATTCCACTGTGCGTTAGAACTATTTTAGAAGGCACTTTACTTTAATTTTTTACTATTTTTTGACAATTGTAACAACAGATTATATTTTCCATTATTTTCTATTAAATCCCGTGCCAAAGGTTTACTTAGAACATTTTTTATGAATATTCGGTCACTAAAATAAAAAGGATCCTCGTTTCTAAAAAAATTCTATTTAGTCGATTTTCATTTTCTTCCGCTTCAGCTAGATCATTCAAAATATGAATATAAATAAGAGCTTCGTCCAAATTTATTTCAATTAAAAAAAGTGACGTTTTGATAGCGCACGACAATGACAGTTCTCCCAATGTTCTCACGAAATGATGCTCTTCTACTGGTTTTGACTAAGAGAAGTACGTTCTCTCGATTTTCATTTGAAGTGATCATTTACTTCAATTAAAGAATACCACTCACACACTTTTTAAGAGAACGGCAGTCCAGTTCGCATGAAATGATCATTCTCTCAACTGGAGAATAGGCCCCCAGATGATTTTACACGGGAGTAGACTAATTTTCTTAGATCGTTTGCCCAGGTTACTCTAGAGTAATTCTCATTGTCCCAAAAGTTCTGAACCGCAACAAAAGTAAACGTCAACGAATTTAAACATTAAATTTTTTTACAGTTATTTGATTACAGTCATTTTATAATGTTTGATGTTCCTCGCTTCCCATTGTTACTCATGTCTCGTGTAGTTTTAGTTTTTTTAGATTTTTTCCTTTTATTTCAATATGTACCTATTCACCGCACTATTTATAATCGAGTTTATAATGAACTCAATAAGACAAGAAATTTTAGATTATTTATTTTAAAATAAACAACTTTATAGAATTCCATGTACAAACAAACACCTTTATGACACAAAAATAATATAAAACAACTTCTGCAAAAGAACTTTCGAAGAGGTTCTTTTTCCGTTTTTCTTTTTGTTGCAGGAAAACAGCGTAATGGTTTCTGAATGAATTCAAGAACGAATTAATGGTCAGGTTGACCGTGTAAGAATTTCAAATTTGATAGCGATGGATCGATGGTATTTAGTCGAAATATGGACCGAAGCAGGCACCTGCCTCTTAACGGAGTGACGGCGAAGGCATTAAAGTGTCTTATTTATTAGCCATAAGGGTCATATTTGTTATGTTAGAATTATGTATTAAGTTCCTAGGGTAATCGGTCCTGAACAGTGGCGGCACTTGACTAAAAAATTGGGGGTTCACAATGACAGAATATAGATCTCAGTACAGATGTAAGTACAAAACTTTTAAGTGTTTTAGAAACGTTTTAATATACCTTTCTAAAACACTGAAAGTTTTTTTCCTACATATGTTCTGAGATCTATATTCTGCCATTGTAAACCCCCAAAGTATTGGTTACAATATGGTCCTGAAAAATAAGGAGAAATTTATAGTTCGGCTGTCTCAATGGAATGTCAAATTTACTTGTTTTGTGTTTAATTTTGGAAATAGATTCATTTGATGAAAATATCGTGTTTTCTTACGTTATGTCAAATTTACTCAAATTAATCCAATCTAAACTGTTTAATTATTTATATTAATGGCTACCTAGCAAGCAGGTATGAACAGGTAAGTCAATATAGTAACTACACCGTTATGTCGACCAATAAAAATTGATATCAGAAGAATGATAATTTAATTACGAAAATAATCGTATAGGCTTGCCTGCAAAAAACTGTTCATGGAATATTAATGCCTTGCTTTATTTAATTAAAAATAGCCATGAACACTTTTCGAATGGCAAGTTTCCATAGGCGTGTTAATAAATCAATAAAATTTCATAAAAAGTATATCTCATCTGGTTATCAGGTCGACCTCCCACTAGACTATAATCGTCTATCACGTGATAAAAAATTCACATCTCAGATGCATCCGATGTGGATATTCAAATGAAACATTTGAACAGCCTTTCACAACCGAAAGGTCTAACATCCCGCCAGATACAGTAAGACCGGCCGCAAGTTCAGTCTACAGGGAAAAGGATAGTTGAGACAGCAGTTCTATAATCACTGCATCTCTCTAACGTTGTGTCGACAAGGTGTGTGATGACTCCGTATATTGAATATATACCAAGTTCATAATCAGATTTCAAAAAGGAAATTATTGCAACATTATTTCATAAAAAGCTTATCAAAAGCAGTTATTTCACTCCGTAGTCATTAGTGGCCAAGTCACAAACCTTCTCGACTCATGGAGTAGCTGAAACTGAGTCATTCATATTATTAATTGAAATAGACGCATCTACAAAAACAGTAAATTCGAGAAAAATATTGTCAAATTGAATTCATAAAGTTAGTCTTATCAGCTAAAACCTAGTATAAACTTTATACCAAAAAATATGAATTTTGTACAAGAGTAAAGAATCATTATATTTTATGAAAAATAATAATTCATTAGAAACATTTCTTACTAATTTTATTTTGTTGGAAGAGAAACAATACAATAACTTTAAAAGTGTAATCTTAGTTATACATCTAAGCATTGGATCTAAAATTAGTTCTTACCAGGGCTGGTATATCTAAGGGGGTCGCGACATAGACCCAGTAAATGGATGAGGGGGTGACTGAGGCTAGGGGGGAAATAGTAGTCAGCTTAAGTTGGCAACACTTTTCTGACGTTCGTTTGATCGAGCATCGTGCAATTCGTGCATAATAATGTCAATATGGTACAAGTGGAATGAACCACTCTTTTCCTCGTAGTCCAATGTCGAATTAAAACTAAAAACATTTTGTACTTTTTAATATACCAAACTATGCAATTTGTTTCCACTTTATTTTAATGTTACATGAATAGGACGAATAGGTACATGCGTTTGTGCTGTGGTAAATAAGTGGTCATGTGAAAATTATCTCTTAAACTACATTGTGATTGTACTCATCTCAAAACTGAATGCTGTAAATCCAGGATTTAAATCTTGCATAGTGTTGCTTGGGATAAATTGTAAAAAAAGGTGTTGGACAAAACGTTTACAACCTAAAATTGCATGAAAAACATGGTAGAAGAAGGAATTCTACCTTTATGACATTCTCTTTCAACATTTTTAAGTGACTTTGTGGTTTGGTGAATGGACTGTTACCACAGTCAAAAGATTCAAAGTAAAAAAAAGTGACCAAGTTCTAATAAGAATACATAAGTTGAATATGAAAATGTAATTACTTGATTTAAATGTGATTTAATTAAGAGTTAAATAGAGGTTTCATATAAACAAAGTGCTGTAAAATGTTAATAAATGCAAAACCGTTATTAAAGAGAAATTAGTTATCATCAATAAGATATTTTGTAGTAGCTGGTCTCTATAAATAATAAACTTGAAAGACTGAAATAGTAGTCACTTTTATACTAGAAGTAAAAAAAAAATGTGTGGTTGAGACTAATTTATGTATTTAATAAAAACATATTTAACATAAATGAAGTGAATAATACCTACCAAGAATTTAAAAAGACCTAAAATAAATAGACTTAAGGGACTGGAGCTCTAAAAAAGGGAGCAATAATTTGTTATGCATCATCTATAAGAAAATTGTCTTCATCTCTTCAATTACCTTTTAAAATAAACAAAACTAAAACAGCACAAAATTGAAAGTGATCTACTTTTCCCGCCGTATTTTATGTACATCTGAGATTAATAATTTATTAAATTGAAATATTTTATCCTAAAAAATATGGGCATTTTATAATGGAAATGTCATTTAAGAAATGACATTGATTTTTTTTCTTATATTGGTAAACCTGGCGACTACAAGTTGCCACGTTGCCAGATCAATGGCGACTACTATGTGACTACTATTTCGAAAAAAATGGCGTCCAAAATAAACTCCTATGTCGCGACCCCCTTAGATATACCAGCCCTGGTTCTTACTTATTTTGTAGTAAGAGAAACAGAATAACTTTATAAAGTGTAATTTAAGTTACGGGTATACTCGTACATTTAGGCATTAAGTAGATATGAAATCACTGAAACTTACTTTTCTGGACTTTCCAAGATACCAATTTGTCAATTTTATGGTCTACATCAAACTTTGTAATCTTTATCGGTTATTAGCAGTTAGGTTTGGCCCAGAAAGAGCTTCGCATTCGAAGATTACATGGTGCATGCAGTCTATACGTGGTGGGATCATTGTGTAATCCCATCACATGAAGGTGTTTCAGCAAGCAGTGTCCCGTTAGTAATCCCACAATGGTGGATGAGGCCTTGCGAGTTGTAGTACTTCAGTAAGCATGCGTGGGTTTGGTCCCCTTACTGATTCTGTGCCCTCTTATCTGTTGCCAGTAAATTTGGTGTTTTGTGGTTATCCACCTGTTCACTGCCTGTGGAGCAGAGGTTTTGCTTATCCCAAATACAGGTTCGGGTCCTGTGAATGGTATTTCTGATCCACCTTTGGAGAGTTCATCAGCCTTTTCATTTCCTTTGTGCCCTGGTACCCACGGTAGTTTTACCTTGTTGTAGGTTGGTAGATCATTTAGTATTCCAAGGCAGTTCCAGACACGCTTTGACTTAATTCTGTTTGAATCAAGAGCCTTTAAAACTGCCTGGCTATCTGAGAGAATTAGGATAGTTTGTTTTTGTACTTCCCGCTTAAATTCTCTCGTACAAACAATTCGACTGCATGTATTTCAGCCTGAAATACAGTGGCATGTTTTCCCAGTGAGACGATGATGTCGCATTTGGGTTTAACTCCATATACGCCAGCCTGTTTCCTTATTAGTTTTAGATCCATACGAGACCGCTAAGCAAGTATTATCTATCTCGTTATTTACCTCGGTCCAGTTGACCTGGAAGAGTCTGTTGAAGTTTAGGAGGGGTGTCATGTGATCTGATGCAATGTCATACTTAATCATGTATGATATCGGCCGACGAAATCTCGTAGAGTTCGGACAAAAAAGGTTGGGAATCTGTGGCCTAGACAACACTCAGTTTGTCATCCGTATTTATCTGTGAAGAAATATGGGCGAAATAACAAAATAAACTCAAAGTAAAGCAAATTTAATCATATAAACGATTTTTAGAATCTAGAATATGTGATAAAACAGCCTCTAAACTAGAACGACTGAGACCATATGATCTGGGCCGTTCAACGAAAATTAAATACAAATCTTAAAAAATTATGGGCTAATTCTACGCATCTTTCTATATAGTAATATATTTATATACAAATTACGCTAAATTATCACGGAGAACAAGATACTAATAACTACCTAAATAAATACAATATACAGTCTTATACAATTAAACTGCGACTAGAAAGTACAATCCGATAACTTAAAACTAAAAAAAATCGAAATTTTCACTGTTACTTACATAAATAGATATTTATAATAAAAAGTAGAGCATCTTGACAGAAATAGGTTAATTTTTTTTATAATTTAATATTAATATCCCTAAACAAAGTAAAGTCTATGGTAAATAGCTAAATTTCCATTAATGTAACAAATACAATAAACATTTTAAAAAACAAATGGTAATTGGTAATTTTTATAGCAAGCACAAATTGAACATTTCAAATAACAGCAAATACATTTGCAATATATCAAGCAATGTATACACACATGGTACATATTTTGAAGATAAACTCCAGGAACGTTAAAAGAACCAAATGCTCTTTAAAAATGAAATGGGATTATACAAATTAAAAACTATCAGTCGAAACTCCATCTCCATCATCAGTGAACTCATACGGATCTAACCTGGAAATGCATACGTTGTCATTTTCTTGTGTATTCTTCAATGCTAGTCCATCTTTGTTGTCAAAAGTGTTGCTCCTAAATAACAAAATGAAATTACAACATACATAGCCTAATTTACAAACGACTTTAAATTCACCCACATGCAAAACCTTACAGATTCACTGTTATTTAATTAGTAAAATGATATTTTTTATTTGAAACATATGCAACTTAATAACCTCATTAATTGGAATTTTACATATCACAGAAATGATTTAAAATGTGATTAAAAAATCACGCAATATTCCATCTCTACTTTTTCTCTGAATTGACGTTGAACTATTTAAAAATGCTTTGTGAATACAGGAGTGCATTTAGAAACCTCGCACAGCGCGTCTGACCACATACATTAGAATAGGGTCCAGACATGCCGTGCAAGGTTTCTAAACACTCCAGGGGCCCTATTCTGGAATGTCCAATAAAAATGTCGCATTCGTCATAATGTCTATCAAAATGTTAATCAACTGATATTTGGCCAATGTAACATCTGGCAATATTGGATAGAAATATACAAAGGGAGTATATTACATCACACAATTACTTGATGGATCTCTTAGTAATACAAAATAATACTGCAAATATATCCCAAACATATATCTTTTTGATAAATACTAGGTAATTAGAGAGTATAGAAAATATTATAATAAAGGGTGTATCTTATAGTGGTATCCGAAGTTTTTTTTAAATAATTTGAGAAACAGTGAAACTTTTGTAATAAATGTTTTTTTTTTATTGAAATCCATTACAATTTATTTGGTCACTTTTTGAAGATGACATCGGCCAAGTGGCCACACATAAATCGGTCCGTTTTTCGGCATTTTCCATCACTTTTTGGAGTGTTTCGGGTTTAATGGCAGCGATTTCTCCGCTATGTTGGCCTTAAGTTGTTGGAGAGTGGCTGGTTTATCGACCAGGTGCGGTCAAATCTGGTGAATGAGCCAGCCAGTCGAAATCGCCGTATTTCGATATCAATCGATTTGGGAACATGGCACGCAATAGGAGTTTTTTTGAAAATACATTTTTACAATTTCAGCACGTTGTTGTGGTATAAGATGGTTCATTGTTAAAATTGTACTGGACTGACGTTTCTAAAACATTAACAAACATGGCGATCTGTCACCTGGTTGTCAAGTTATTTGAAAAAACATCCGGTATAAGATACACCCTTTATAATCTTTTTGACTGAAATTTCATAAGGCATTAAATAGAAAATTGGAAGCGTAATTTAGTAAGAGATTAAATAGAAGAAAAAAAGAAATATATTATTATAATATAATCTAAACACTATATGAAAGGTCTGTGATGTAATCTTTTACCTGCAATTTGAAAAAATAGAGCTATATAAATTTCTTAATGACAGACAGGACTAATGAATGATAAATTAGGTGAAATTGTAAAAATAATCAATTCATATATTTTTAAAAACAATGTATACAATACTTATTTTCATTTCACTTAAAAATAAATAAACTGTCACAATACTCATAACATTATCTTTAAAAAGGGATGCAACATAATTACAATGTCGACTGGTTGAATACCACTCTGCTTTATGTCTAACAACAAATGTCGAATTCGCCATTCGAGAATACGTTTTTGCGTTCTTATTCGGCATTTCATCTATGTCACGTGTGACATTTGGAAATACGACATTCGAGAATAGTGCCTGTGATGTTAATTTTTTCTTTACCACATGTATAATATCCACCTTGGGTACAAACTACGGAATGAATAAGTAGGGGAGCTATCAATCTACTGAACAGATATAATTTTATATCCTTTCTAGTAATGATATGAAATCCATCTATCACAGTCATATTTATTTAGTAGTACCCTGTCAACTGTTCTTTTTAAAAATTTTAAATTAGTGTCAAACTTATTATTGGAGTTACAGTGATGAGTTCCTATGCAGAAGGTCCATGATTCAATTATTTTTAATTCATGTTTATTTAAATTAAAATCTTTGTGTTAATTATTTTTAAAATAGTTATTGTATCTTAATAAAATATATACATAGAAACACAAAGATTAACTGAGAAAATAGAAATAGTATGTTAAATAGCTCACCTAATCAAACGAGGAGGTTCTTTTTCGGCATCAGGTTGTATCCAAACGCGACTATCTTGTTTGGGAGGCTGTTTTTTACTATCTTCGATTTTCTTCCATAGGCTAGCAATTTTGCTTGTCACTTGCTTTTTGACGGTATTAGAGCTTCCTGTAGAATTAAGACTTGAATTGCTGTTAGACCTGAAACATAAATATGCCAAATGAAATTTAACAGGTACTACAGAATAAGTAGGAGGTACTCCTTTGGTTGATTTCTTAGAGATAAGGTTCTTAAATTAAAACTTCAAAATGTTGTTTTTAAATCATAGATTTCGGCCCCAATTGGACGGCCTCCTTCATTGTGTTTTTATCCCATTATTTGTTTTTTTTTTATTTACATTTTGTTATATCATTATTATGTTATTTTTGTTCTTGATACTTATACATTATTTGTGATAACAATTTTATACAAAACTATTTTTCAGTTATTTACATGAATCCCATGTAATAGTACGGGGTACGAAGTAAGGTCGACCTTCGCCCATCTGCTTACCGGAAGAAAGTAATTATTTATTAAATAAAATATGTTAATAAACATACCGCAAATGGGTTGCCTAATACTATTTTTAATAAGTTATAAAAGTAATTTTAAAAAACCAATGACGTCAAAATCGTGCAGATGCCATTGTTGAATTGCTCATAGATCTCATCCATCAGATCTTGACCAAATGTATATAGGACCGACCACCCCTGAGATACCCCCTTTCTAACAAATGAAGAATCAAAGAAATCACCCAAAATAATCTAGAAAAACAGATCAGGCCAAAAAACGAAATTTAGTAACATAAATTTCACCTCCAAGAAAAGTAAGAGTAGTATTTACCTTTGTGTAAAGCTGGGTATTGAAGACTTCTTAACGGCTCCATTCTGCTGTACCTTCACTTCATTTTTCAAGCTATGACTGGACGGGCTAGCTTGGATCTTCCTAGCCGTCGGCTCTCTACTATCAGCGCTGGTCGATCTGTTGTAAACCTTAGGATTCCTATTAGCTCTGTCAGAACTAGCGGATTTTACGAAACCATTGGTCCTGTTTACGGGCGGTTTTCCGGGAATTTTTGAAGCGTGCGTCGGGCTGGGCAGTTTAGATACAGCGATTTTTGATGTAAATGCGGGAATTTTCGAAACCATTGGAATTTTACTGGTGGATTTTGGAGTGGTGCTGCTAGGCGACGATTCGTCTTTGGTAAATGTGCCTTGCCGATCTAACGAAGTATTAACTGCACCTTTTAATGGTGTAAGTTGAGTTTTAGTCAAAGGTGTATGTTTCGGACTGCATCTACTACTCAAAGGCGTTCGTGCAGGACTCGTCTTAGGTGAAGCCGTCTTTGAAACGCTTCTGCTGCCATATCCACTCGAAGCTCGACTCTGAACGGGTGGTGTGATATTTTTATTCTGTCTCGTTACGACGTTTTTCAGCGCCGTTCCCGATTTAAAAGTAGATGAGACGTTCTTCACGAGAGTGGAGGTCATGGTTTTGACCGGTTTGAGACTTTTCGGTGTAGAGCTAGTAATGGTTTTGGAATATAACGGTTTTCTGCGACCCCTTACGCCTTTCGATTGTTCTTCAATTACCGCAACCTCTTCTTCTACCGGTTTCTCATCTGGTTTCACGATTTTCGGTTTGCCTAACGATCGTTTTTCTTGTTCCTGCTCTTCGTCTTCGTCGAAAGCATTATCTTCCACAGGACCACGTTCTAGAACGCGAGCTGGTTCGTCTGTTATAACGGGAACGTTCTTTTTAAATCCCCAACTCTTGTGATAAGTTCTGTAATTCACAGAACTTCCAGAGTTGTATTCAGAATCGTCGTCGTTGCTCACCAGACTAAGAGTCTCGCAGTCCAATAGTTCGTCTTGTGTTTTGGTATCTCTGAGCGTCTTTAATACCCTAAAAAATGAACGATATGGTACGAATTCTATGAAAATTATGATTTATACTCACCTATTGGCTTCTTTTTGCAGATGAAGCTGGACCTCGCTGTCGCCGTTCAACGGCGGTGAAGAAGACGACACGTCCGGCGAAAAACTCGTCTCGCTCAGCGTCCTAGTCCTAAACCGTTCCTTGTTTTCGAACCTCTTTTGGATAAAGTTCCTCCTGATGCTCAGTTTACTTTTAGCGGGACTTTGAGAGGGCGACGAGGAGCAGCTGTTCGAGTTGGAATTTTGAACGGTCGAATCTTGCAGTGGCGGCGAGTCTATCACGGGTTGTTGGAGGATGTTAGTAATGGATTGATCCAAAATTTGGGTTTCGAAACGGGATCTATTCATCAATCTTCTCTCCTTTGGCGTCAATTTTTCTTTTCTTAAGGCAAAAGTAGGTGAAGAGGTTGTACTGTCCGCTTCTCCAACGCCGCTGTCTATACCGGCTGTTTTATAGTCACCAGTAGCAGATTCGCTGCTTTCTTTCTGTTTTTCTATTTCTTCCCGCATCACCATTTCTAATCCGATAGTATAAGTTTTATATCTATCTCTAGCTTGGTTTCTTCTTTGCTTGGTCGTCATAGATTTACTCAAATGGCTTTTGCTCTTTTTTGGCGTCGAGTCCAAACTGCTTCTCGCGTCCGAAAATAGAGTTGTATCTTCGTCTTCATCTTCAATATTATTTAAAGTTTCGTTAATAGAATCAGATATCCCATCTACTGCATCATAAGCAATAGTAAAATCTGCAGCAGTTCCATCATCGTCAGCGACATGAGTAAAACAGTCTTCGAATATATCCGTTTCGCTGCAAATCGCTTCTGTAGGTACGTCGGCCAAAGAATTGCAAAAATCTGTAATTTCGTTGAACAACGACGGAGGGTTTATATTTTCCAACTCGCTAAACGGTTGTTTCAAGTCAAAAATAGGATGTTGGCTGCTGTGAATGGTGTCTTTGTGGATGATCCCGTTGATCATGAAGTCGGCTCTTTGGTCGCTAGGTAGACTAGCTAGGCTCGTCATACTCCCCTCCATGTCGAATAATAAGTCTGACGGGGGATTTACATGGTCCAAGTTCGAGAGACTTTCCAAGCTGGAACCGTTGTTTAAAGAATTACTAAGAGCTCGACGTATCATCAATCCAGCCGGTAAGGACTTCTTTCTTCTGGGCAGTTTAGGGCTTCTTGTTAAACCAACTGCACTGTTTGTTAAGGAATTTAACTGCGAAGGAGGTTGAATGTTGTCTAGTTCTAAAGAAGCGGCACTCGTGATGCTAGCCGACATTTCGGCCTCTTGTTTAAAAACTGTAGCCATTTTGCTAGCTTCGAAAGCTATTAGTGTGCTATCCGTCATGGTGGAGGTGTTTATCGAAGAAAAATCGTTGGAGGGTTGGTTGCCATCATCGGGAAAGTCATTTAGGTCTTGTTGTACCTCCTCTTCCTCGTGACTAAAAGTAATAACATTGGGCGCACTGCCTGATAAACTCGGAAAGGTAATGTCACTGGGAGAAACCTCATCATTCCAAGTGTTATCTCCTGTCGAAACTTTGTAGTTTTCATCCTTGTTAAGATGGCTGGCTTGCGATACTAATTCAGCTGTGAAACGGTCCAACGATTCAATCATTGCGTCAGGATCAAGCATTCGATTGTCTACGACTTTAGAGTCTTCGCAACTTCTTATCAATCGCTCCTCCATTACATCCAAAATTTTGTGCAACGAGTCTCTAGATCCATTCTTCACTGTTCCTAAAAACACACAAATTTCAAATAATTTCACGTTGCATTTTGCAGTATTAAAAAAAGTTATCTTACCTGGGGATGAGATCTCGTCTGAAGGCGAGCATCTGACCCGTGATGTATCGGTTGGCGGAGTGCTCCTTGTTGGGATCCCTGTTCTCCCTGGCGCCTCTGGAACTCGATCTCTGCTCTCCTCCGCCTTTGTCCCTTTCTCCCGCTGGATTTCTTGATTTTTTTCTACGCCTGCTACCGCGCTGGACTGATTTGTTGCGGGATGCGGTTCGTTCGCGAATCGAGGTTCTCGCGTGCTCCCGGCAACAGACGCAGCACTCACGTTTTTTGGATGGATGTCGGACGATGGGGGGCTCGACGAATCGTAAGAGTGCGATACGGGGTTCATCGAATTCGATCTGGAATTTGAAATATAATGAAATGCATGTACATACTAAAACAATGTGGAAAAATAATTAATTTTTTTTAGCTTACCTTGGTTTGGGTATATCCAAAGGTTTACTTCTTGTATCCGAATGGCTTTTGGGCATTCCTGACGATATGCATTGTGCCAATAGAGCCTGTTCAGCTTCTAGGGATCCTAATGATTCTACACTAATGGAAGATAAAGATTCTCTCCTGGATTGTTGGCTAACATTGTGTTGAATTGTTGAATTTGCTTTAAACGAAGATAATAAAAAAATTATTAAAAAGAAGAACTACGACGATTGCTAGGAACTACGTGACCTACTACAGAGATTGCGAGAATTCGGAGGAACCTTATTTACCATTCTGGAGAATCATATGTTACTAGGTAAATATGACAGTACAGAGCGATATATCAATTAGTTTTTAACAGTAATCCAAAGTTAACGTCTTGTGTAATTTTGTGAAATAACTCGATGATTAAAAAATATCTTCCAATTTCGAGGTAATCGCTGCTGTAAATAACTATTTCGAAGAATGCAAATTTGAAATATTATTGGAATAAATATGTTGAACAAGCCGAAGACTATATTGAAAAATAAATCTTTGGGAAAAAAATTTGCATTTTATTTTGTTAGGCCACGTAATTCTCGAACAATCCTCATATTATATTAAAAATGTTGAACTTGCATGTATAGGTTTTTATCAATAAAATTGATCTAATTTTAAACGTACCCGATTGTGGTTCTTTAACTTCAATAAGCTCAGATCTGGCCAAAGGACATTCGTTTTGACTGTTAGGACCATTCCTGTAAATAATTATTTTTTAAGATCAATAAAACAAGAAAATAAATAATTTTCACAATGAACTAAAATTGTGAATTGTCCAAAAATCATGTAATAATTGGCATTATTATTAGTAAAATATAAAGAATTGCATATAAATTCTAAAAAGTATGTGTTTAGTGTTTTAACTAAATATTCAAAAAGAAAACACACTTATTGAAATAAACCAAACAATTAGGTTATTACTCTAGTCAATGGTGAACTAGAGAAATATACAAGGCAATACGTTTATTTTTTATATTTTAAACATAGCTCAGAACTGGATGGTAATAAATCACAAAAAAAATAACGCAGTTTTAAGGTATCTAAATTAATAAAGCATTTTACCCAGAACTTCTCCTAAGAACTAAATTTGTTCAATGTTGAACTTGTTCATGTTATTGGAATCAGCTAAAATTTGGTAAACATCTGAATTCAATCACAATGCAAAATTAAGGTGTCCAATAGTTCAGACGTTTGTAACATATATTTTTTTAGTATTTAAATAATTTTGTGTAAGTATTTATCCCAAACAAGTATTTAAATGCTGTAGGTATTTGTTATTTAAATACCTTTTGCTTTAAAAAAGTATTTAAGATTTAAATAATCGTATTTATGAAGAAGTATTTAGTATTTTGTATTTATATACTTTTAAAAAGTATTTTGCCCAGCTCTGTATCCAACAATACCAACATGTTAGCCAATAACATATATACAAGGTGTAATTAATCGATAGCTGTTTTATTATAGGAAATATGAAAAAAAAGAGTATAAAAGTTATATAGTCTAAGATCCGAAGTAAGGTCGACCTTCACCCATCTGTTTAATGGATGAAAGTTTCTTTTTATTACATAAAATATATTTATAAATATACCGCAAATGGGTTGCCTAAGAAAATATGGTCCAGACTATTCTTTTTCTTAAAGTAAAAAAAAACGACACCCTGTAAAGTATTCCCCAGATGCTTCAACTATGCACAAACTTTAATCAGCTCACCGCAGGATGGATTAAAACTTAAGTTTAAAATTTGGTGTTTTTCTCTTCATCCGTTTTTGAGTTGTCTTCAAAATTCGAAATTTGCACTTTTCCTCAAATATCTCGAATTAGATCCATTTTAGGAAAATCATGTATGGGAACAAAATAATAGATAATGACATCATAAACAACTTTTATCATGATTTTAATAGTTTCCTTATCTGTACACAGAAAGGAAAGTAAAAAATGGCCGTGACCGTATTTTCTTAGGCAACCCATTTGCGGTATATTTAAAAACATATTTTATTTAATAAAAAATAAGTTTTATCCATTAAACAGATGGGTGAAGGTCGACCCTACTTACGGATCCTGGACTAATATGACCATGTTTAATAAATATCCTTAAATATACAGGGTAGTTTATAAACGAGAGGCTAGCCAAACTTATATATTTTTAAAGCAAAACACGTAGTTATGCATATTTGATTGTTTTCACATCGTCGAACAATTTTAATAGACTTCATTTATTTGCTATCTTGTATATAGGGTGTATCAAAATGTGGTTTTCTCAATTTTTAAAGGGACTACCCTATATCTTATACCACCAATTAATTAATACAGGGTATTCCATTTAAAAAATTGAGAAAATTGTAACCTCACGTTTTGACACACCCTATTTACAATATAGTAAATGAGTGAAGTCAATTAAAATTGTTTGACGATCTGAAAAAATCAAATATGTATAACTACCTGCTTTAAAAAAGTATAGATTTGGTCAACACCTCGTTTATGGACCACTCTGTATATTTAAGAATAATTGTTAAATATATGTTCATACAACTTTTGTATTTAAAATTTCTTCATATTTCTAATAATAAAACATCAAATCTTCACTAAATTTATATGGGACCACCCCTCATGTACCCCGTTTTTAACAAATAAAGAATCATAGATATCGGACAATGTAGTAAAACACTATTGCTGAATATACATTTAAAAAAATTCAACGAATTGAAATTTGTTTAAAATCAAGATACTACTGATTAACTAATCAATTAAATTTAAATAATTATAAATGATAACAGGTGTTTATACTTCCCTTTAAAAATTTGGCAGAATAAGCCGACGATATATTTCATATAAATTGCTAATACCATACAATTTATTTATTACAAATTATGGTCAGTTCAGATACGATAAGGATTCTACATTTTAAAAAAATAGCAAAATAATACATCTAAAGGTACGTTTACATCTGACATTTATTGCATGATATTTATGTCTGACAGTTGTTTAGTCCAGTGTAAACACTCAAAAATATATGTCCGAGAGAAATTTTTGTGTGTTTACACTGGACTAAACAACTGTCAGACATAAATCTCATGCAGTAAATGTCAGATGTAAATGTATCTTTAGACTGATTTTAAGGTTTTGTCAATATATTTTAATCGGATTAAAAAGTAAACAAACCTCTTCAGCGCGGCCACGCTCCCGTCCACGGTCAAATCACTCAAACTGCTCCTCAACGAAAAATGACAAGGACTATTCTCGACATCGTAATTCTCCACTTCGTCCCCCGCGTTTAGATATACGGGCAGCGAGTGATCCCTTCGACTTCTCGAATCCGTCGATGACGGGGGCACTTTCGGGGCTTCCTGCCGCCTCGCGTCAACTGTCCCCGGCGCGAATTTTCCAGATGGAACGTTGCGGCGCGGCGGGGACGGTTTGGCGAGCGGTTTGGAATCTTTTTTGGCTTTGGGCATAGCCGATTGGATGCATTCGGCTAAGATGTTGTCGTTTTCGCCTGAAAGTAAAAATATGACGGGTGGTGAACGATTTGATAATATAGTAAAAATTTTTCGTCGATAATTCGTGAACTTCTATAATAGTTCAGTGCAGTTACGAGGGTTGATTGAAATATAAACCGGAATAAACAGAATAATCGTCCGAAAAACGCAATTTTTCATCATTGGATCCCTCCCACAGAGGGAAATAATAAAACCAAACGTAAAAGCTTGTAACTTTAAAATCGCTATTTCTAAAGTATTGCTAATATATTTAAAAACAGATTTTAGGTTATTCTGGTTTCATTTTATTATTTTTACAAGCCTCTTACAGACAGGGAAACTTTGAGAGAGCTGCATTATTATCAAAACAATACTACGAGGGTTACCTTTTATATTTCGAGATTGGACAACCCTAGTGTTGCAAACTGGCAACTGACAGCTCTGTCGTAAAGTTTGACATACGAAAGCTATTTGTGTTGTTTACAGTAACTTAAAAGATTCATCTCGGCCAAAAAATGGAATTAACTCGTGAACATTTTCGTGCGATTATTTTTTACAACTTTCGACGTGGATTAACTCAGCAACAGTGCATCGATGAACTTAATTCAATTTTTTGCAATGAAGCTCCATCAAGGACCAGTGTTTATCGATGGTGTGGTGAATTCAATCGAGGTCGTAGTTCCATCCAGGACAAATTTCGTGAAGGTCGTCCAAAATCAGTTGTTCCGGAAACCATTGATGCTGTGCGCGAACTCATATTGAAAGATCGTCATGTGACCTATCGTGAGATTGAGACAACCTTAGGCATTAGTGGGACCAGCATACATTCAATATTGCATGAACATTTGACTGTCAAAAAAATTTGTTCGCGTTGGATCCCACACAATTTGACAATCGTTCTTAAAAAGGCTCGTATCGATTGGTCGAAAGAAATGCTCAAAAAATACGCGATCGCGCTGCTTCGAAACACGTCTATAACATAGTGACAGGTGACGAATCGTGGATTTACGCGTATGAGCCCGAAAGTAAACAGCAGTCGACTGTATGGGTGTTTCAAGATGGGCCAAATCCGCCTGTTTTTTCGGAAAAACTGGACATGTCGCAACCGTACCACTAGAACAACGCAAAACAGTTAATTCTGAGTGGTACACAACCATTTGTTTGTCAGTTGTCTTCCAAGAAATGATCCAACCGACGAAGACGGATCACTCTTCACCACGACAATGCGAGCTCTCACACATTGGCTCAAACAACTGCATTTTTGATTACTCAAAACGTCGATGTGATGAGTCATTCGCCGTATAGTCCTGACTTGGCACCGAATGACTTTTTTTATTCCCCTGCGTAGAGAATAAACTGAAAGGACAACGTTTTTCGACCCCTGAAGAAGCGGTTGATGCGTTCAGAATGCATGTTTTGGAGATACCTCAATCAGAGTGACAAACGTGCTTCGACAATTGGTTCAAACGCATGCAGAAGTGTCTGGATATTCATTGAGAATATTTTGAAAAACAATAAAGCGATTTTCAATGATTAATATTTGTTTTTGTTCTCTAATCCCGAAATATAAAAGGCAACCCTCGTATAAATAAAACTGAGTTTATTATCGACTTAAAACAATTATTTAATAAAACCAGGGGTCTATTTCATAGAACTACTTTACAACTTTTCACTTTGCATATTTTACTAAATTTATGTTTAATAAAAGAGAAATTTGACGAGTTAAAAAGTAAAATTTAAAAAGCAATTTGCAAAGTGAAAATGAAAAATTAATAATTTGCTAAGATAACAATATTATTTTATGAAACATAAGTATTTTGCACTCGTAAATTGGAAAAATGCAAATTGAAAAGTTACAAAGTAATTTTATGAAATAGGTCCCAGGTTAATTAAACAAAAAAAAAATGAAATTATTGAATAAAACTTACATGCACGTATTTCATTTCAACTTACACTTACAAACACTTTGATACAAATAAACCATTTTTTTGTTATTCATTCCTATTATTTTCTAGTGATAAAATTGATAAACACATGTGGGTACTAATTATATTCAACTTAAATGCACGCTGTTGATCTAGTTTTTTTTGTGATAACATATTTTCTAAAGATTAGATAAGAAAACAAACTTTCTTACACTGGTTTTACTGAAAACTGAAATAATTTTTTAAAAGGCTAACCAAAATCAATTATTTAAAGAGCGCTTATTTTACGAATTTTAAAAGGGATAATAAAACTAATTCAAAAATTCTCTGACAGATTTTAATATTTTCACAATTTGTTGATATTTTAATGAGTTATTTTTTGGATATATCACAGGTGATCCAATAAATAGTCAAATTCTGTAATTTAGAGCAACTATCGTGTTTTTGCGTTAAAGTAGACCTGGCTTGACTCATCCATTAACAATTTAGAATAATTTCCAAATAATTTTAACATATACAGGATGGATCGTAATTTTGAACAAACTTCTTCAACGAGAGGTAAAGGTGTGCTTATTGGGGTACATGAAGATTTTGTTTCCGTAGAAATTAATCTATCTGATTTTAACTTTCCTCAGCTTAAATTGATTGATATCATAGTTGTTAAAATAATGTTTTTATATAAATATATGTATTTGTTAAATATTTACATACCTCCTCAAAGTCCACTAACTAAATTTGAACTTTTTGAAGCCCTGGCATTGTTGCATATATTACATAATAATGCAGTTCTCGTTGTAGGAGACTTTAATGTTAGCAAGTATCTGGCACTAAGATCACTTAAGCCAAAAAAGACCACCGGATCAGACGATATTCCAGCTTTTGTCCTAAAAGATTGTTCTTCTGTGCTTACTCGTCCTCTCTCCATACTAATTAATATTTGTTTAAAATCGGCTACAATACCAGGGATCTGGAAATCCTCAAAGGTCTGTCCCATTTTCAAGAAAGGAGATAGATGAGATATTATCGACCTATCTCTATTATATGCAACGTTGCAAAGGTTTTTGAAATCCTGTTAGGCGTCATGTAAGTTGTAATATAAGTATAAATCAACATGGTTTCGTGAAAAGTCGTTAAACAGTCACCAACCTTCTGACCGTTACCCAATATATTGCTGAATCTATTGAAAACAGAGCCCAAACTGATGTTATTTACATATACTTTTCTAAGGCCTTCGAACAGACTTGATCATGGCATTCTGCTTAACAAACTTGCAGGTTTTGGATTATCTCCCTCTCTAATTTCACTATTTCAATCCTATCTATGGAATCGAAAGCAATTTGTCCAGCTCAATGGTTTTAGGTCTGCTGGATATAGTGCTTCTTCCGGTGTTCCACAAGGGTCGAATCTAGGACCTTACTTTTTATTATGTTCATTAATGATATTGCAGATGTTATAAATGTAAATTTCCTCGTGGAGAAGATAGGTGATTGCGAGAACCTCTCAGCAAACTTAACACGGGTTGTTGAATAGTGTTATCAAAATAACTAAACCCGGATAAATGTAAAGTTATGTCCTACAGTTTAAAAACGAATATCCTAATCTTTAATTATTCAATAGAAAACGTTGCCCTTGAGCGACCAAAAACATTTACTGATCTTGGCGTCACGTTTGACACTGCACTATCATTTAATAAGACATTGATAATGTTGTATCCTCCTACTATCGCATGTACGGATTAATTGCACGTAGCAGTAATGATTTTAAAGAAACCTCTACCTTAAAAACTCTACTTTATGCTTTTATAAGATCAAAGTTAGAATATGCATCAGTTGTGTGGAGCCCATTTTATCAGTATCATATAGATCGAATAGAAGCAAATCTGATGGCATTTATCCTCTAATAGGTACACCTCACTCTGAATTACTACAAAAGCATAACTTTTTCAGTCTCGAAAGAAGGCGTGATTATTATAGTGTAGTAGTAACTTATAAAATTATTAAAAGTATTATTGACTGCCCAACCTTATTAGGAAAGTTTAATATTTGCATTCCCAGAATTTCTTCCAGACACCCGAATACTTTTTATATAAATACATGTCGCACAAATGTTCTGGAAAATTCTCCGCTCCATACCATATGTATAATGGCAAATTCTATTGTAAATGAACTTGATATACTTAGTTGCAATTTGTCAGATATAAAATCCCACTTTTTATCTTAGTTAATTTGTTACCTATTACGAAATAAAAGTTCTTTTTATGTGCTTAACATTCATATAAAAAAATGTGTGATTTATTAATAATTAAATTCTGTCAATTCCTGCTATGTAATTGGGTTTACGACCTGTAGAGTATAGAGTATTGTATTATAAATAAAATAATTACAGGGACGTGACAACGGGGCAAGCCAATTAGTTTTTTTTGCACACAAAAATAGTACGCAGTAGATTTTTGAAATTTATATATTTTTTAGTTGTATATCGGAAACGAAGTTTTTTCGGACATAGGATTTTTTTTATATTTTAAACCAAAGTTTAAATTTTCGTTCAATATTAATTAATCATACCATGTATAGCGTTGATTAAAAGACTTACCTGACAAGTTACTGCTGTCGTCCGACAAATAATCGCCTTTCCTTGACCCGTCTTTGCCGTTCGAGACTGACAACAAACTCAAATCCGAATTGGACGCCGCATTACTCAATCTGACAGGCGTATCTTCAGTACAGTAGGATCTTAAGGTGTCGCCCTTTAATAAATAGGATTTCAATTATTAACAGTCTTGGTTGCAGAACTGGTTTAGTAACGTGTGCATTGTTTTTATTTTTACCTGATTTCCTGTAATACTCAAATGATTATCGAAAGATCTCGACTGATTCGGTTGCGAGATCATCCTGGGAATAGATCTGGACATGGGTATGCTGCTATTTTGAACTCCTTTGGGCGTGTACTTAAAACTAGAGACAGGTAACTTCGTTGGGGTCGATGTTGGAATGTTTTTGGACTGATTGTGCCTGCATCAAACAGAACATATGTAAGTACTAAAATTACTAAGAAAATAAGATAATTTTCAGGAACTTGATAAGATAAGAATTATGTTTGTTGACTAATGAATTCAAATGATATCATATGTTGATTGCATCGAAAGATACTACAAAATCTTATAGTAAAAAGAAACATTTTATGGTTTTAGTACCTGTTATTCTGCATGCCGATATTGATGCAATCCGCCAGTATATCTTCATCTACATCTGATTCAACAATAAATTCATCAATAATATCGGACGCTGCCGTTTCTTTTTCTTCGTCCTTTTTCTCGATTTCTTCATTTTCTACTTTATCTTCTTCATGCGTGCCATCTTCCAAGGTTTTTTGTCCACTAGCCTAAAATTGTATAACTTCCTAAGCAAGTTCATCGTTTCACATGCCTACCAAGAGTTAGTGTCTCTCTTGGCTAATATATTGTGGTTACTATTCCAGTAATGTTATAATTAGACACAGATCAGCAATACAAACGTAAAATTTTGTTAAAGCACGTTTTAGTAAATGTGATTAAATGTGCCTTTTGGATTCAATTATGAAATTGACACTTGGCCTTTAAAATAGATCTCTTATGCTCTAATTTCAGGTCCAAAATGTACCAAAACAATCCCATAGTTGCAAAAAGAAAACAAACTAACCTGCTCGTCCTCAGCATCTTCAGGATCGTCAATGGTCAAACTACTCAAACTAGTGGCAGTTGAAAATTGAATTGGCGTACTTTCTTCTTTAAATTTGGTAACATTATCTTCAAAAACGCTCGGTTTGGGTAAAGATCTTGGCACTGGTTGTGGTGTCCTTCCCTACAATTTTTATAATAAATATTTCAAATATGTAGACAGTTAAAAATGAAGTTATGTTTTACCTTTGAGCTGGAGGGATATTCCGACGAAGTTTTCCTAGGCTTGGGACTGGGAGGTACAGTTTGCGTAGGAGAGTCTGGTAATTCACTTGGAGAGACTATACCGCTAGTTAGGCGACTGAAATCCGACACCACGGAACTTCTATCGTCGTGTATAGAGTGTTGTTCGATGCTATCCAATGATGCTAAGGAACTAGACCTGCAAAAAATTGAAAACAAAAAAAATTGTCAAAAGTTGTACTGGTGTCATAGTGTTCCGTACCGAAGTTGATAATTATGTTTATAGATTTAGCTCAGGTGCTGATACTAATGGAGGCCCTGCACGCTCCGATATGGCCTGATGCCAAAATGCACAGTTCCGATCTGAAGGCAAGATTTAATCAGCTCATTTTACTCTTCACTTCACATTAGACAAAAGAGGAGAGGCCATATAAGAGTCAGATGTCAGATCGAGCACTTCATGTTGAGTTTTGGACTGAATCGATGGACTGTCAGTTCAAATCTCACAAAAATCGTAGCGTGTAGGACACCTTCTTAATTTTTTCAAAAAAGTTAAAGAAAAAGTAACGCAAACGAACTTATTATACATTTTTGAAATAGTGCTTCAAAGAACTTTTTCTGACTTCCAATTAAACCCTCTATAACTGACCGCCAAAGATAAAAAAACTATTTTTTAGTCAACGCCTGAATAGTTATTGATATAAATTGCTAGAAAAGAGGATTTCGATATAGAATTAGTGATTCGAATCACATCTCGTGAATCGTATTCGTGATTATAATCTATTTTTTGAGGATTCGTCCCAGTTTTGGTGTCAACATAAAATAAATCACATTCTCATGTTCTGTTATAACATTTCAAGATCAATAAAATGCTTTTTCAATAGTTTAGCTGTGTAAAAATAAAAAACTCAAGTGCACTTCATAAATAATTATTCTTAATTTAATTAAAGTATAAATTTTCTTACCTGGAAAACATGAGCGGAGTTTCTTCAGCATAATTGACGACCCTTTCGAATTTGACAGCCTTAGTTTCGGCCGCAATTTTCGGCGAAACTTTTTCGACTTTTCTATCGCCATCCAATTCACGGTTCTCGTTTTCTTTTTGGTCCTTGACGGTTTCGTTGGCTGGTATCGAATTCAACGAGCCGAAGCTGCTCACGCGCGAAAAGTACCCCGGCGTACCTTCTTCGGCGTAGTTTACGGGCTTCTCCGGCGACATGAGCCCCGAACTCAGTTCGGACTTCGGAAGTTTGTCGGTTAATTTAGCACGGTGATCCAAAACGGAAATGTCTTCGGTACTGCACCGTTCCTTTTCCTCCGGACTTTCGTTTATCTGCAAAATGGATAATTGTGAAGCCATTATTTTAAAAAGTCAATTTTTTATATAAGTAATGATGATTCCAACTCTGCTTGCAATATATAAGGGCGTAATTATGAATGAATGGATTAGTCATTAGTTTTTCATTGTTAGTTTTGACAGAAAATGTCTGATGGATAATTGTGAAGCCATTATTTTAAAAAGTCAATTTTTTATATAAGTGATAATGAATCCAACTCTGCTTGCAATAAATAGGGGCGTAATTATGAATGAATGGATTTGTCTATTAGTTTTTCATCATTGGTTTTGACAGAAAATGTCCGACATCAATGACAACAGTTGCTCGATATTTAAATACGTTTTTTTACCTTTTTGTTGCTTTTAGATTCCCTTTCCTTTAGCTTATCGTTATCGATGACTTGCTTATCGTCCATTCTCAAATCTGACATCGAAGTGGCCGTAGAAAAGTTAAAAGGCGTCTCGTAAGGAGTGTCCTCGGTAAAATACGTCTTGATGGTATCCTCGTTTTTCGCTATTTCCGAATCCGAATCGTCTTCGGCGTAGCGCAAAGAATAGTCCGTGGGCTGGTCCAAATCCGTTTCGGCGTAAATGCCGAAATTTTCTTTATCGTCAGATTGTTTGCCGAATGAGTAATTGCTGTGGTCTTTTCTCGAACTTGCGTTAGGATTTTCTCCGTTTGGCACCTTTGTTTCGGAATATTTTTTACTATAATCTATAGGTTGATCGGAAATATCCATTTCGTCGTCGTATGCGCAATCTGAAAATTTATTTCTAACAGGGATAAATGTACAATTCGGCCGTTTGTACGGTAAACTGGTACTACCATAGGTTTGGTTTATTCTAGAATTCAATCTAGGATCACTGGAATAACTCGTTGATGGTTCGTTTAGATTCAGACTTGCAAAATTACCTAAAAAATAATCATTAGAATTGAAATTAATAGGGTAGGTTATGGTTTTAGGTATTACTGTTAAGTTCTTGCATTTCCTCTTTTCTTCTTGGTTCTTTTTTCACCGGAGACTCTTTTTCAATGTTCTCGTAAGTTTCGCTTAAAGTATGGTCAAGATTTTGAATAAACGCCTTCTGCTTCCTCGCACCTACAAGTAATTTATATAAACAACCTGGACAAATGAACTAAAGTTCAATTCTTAGTTAAATCATTGACATTCACAAACGAGTTTTAAACATATCTGTAAGTTACATGTGTAAACTTTAAATAATCTGATATAATTACAGATATTTAAAATTATCGATAAGCTCACATTGTTTTTCTATCGATTTCATAAATGTTTTTCACAAAAAAATATCAGTTTGTTAATTGATTTGAGGAATCGTTACCTCCTTTCTTCGAATTTGGCTATAGTTAAATTCGGAAATAATAGGCACTAATATGTCGTATTGTGGATATTTAGGGCGTCACCGTCAGACACTGTTATGACAAAACACAACATTTAACAGTTGTAAAATTTGTTAATGCAATATAGATCAATAAACAATATTAAGAACACTTTAAAACGACAGTACATAACTAATTAAAGAAATACTGATAATAATACGATATCAATTATTAATCAATTAAAGAAATGATACTAGCGATCCGAAGCCAGCGTACAACCGTCCGATCGATCACACTTCTCTAATATGCCCTCATTCCTTATTTTTTCGGCCGGCTCCGTTCCGCCTCCCTTGCCCCTCACTATGAATGGCAAGTGTGCATCATTTTTGCAAAGTCAACACTTATAAAAACAAAGTATAACTTTACAACTTATCTAATTGAAATACGGACTAATGATGAATCAAATTTCTTTAAACTATAAACAAAAGTTAAATATCGACGCCGCCGACATATATGAAAAACACTTTCATCTGTCACTGCCAATGGGTTATGTGACAATGAGATTGTTGTGAGTATACATTGGATATTGTATTCGTATATGCCAACTCTGTCAGCATTCTTCACACATTCCTGACATTCTTTTACTACCTATTATTTTAGGATCCAAATATAATTTCTCGGTGTTTCATTTTTAAAGATTTACAGATAGGTATGTATTTAAAAATGCTTTGTGAATAGATATGATTGTATTAAAAATGATTCCCCATCTAACCCTAAACTCTGATTTAATATATACGAAGGTCGATCTCTATGCACCACCCTTGATCTATTTGTAATAAAAAGAATATTTCAACAATTACTTTTTGACATAATGTCACTTAATTCCAATGCATTTGTGCCAACAATGATTCAGCATCTCTATCTCTTCATTTACGGTAATCTATAAATATGATTTCACTCCTCATTAAAAGTATTCAGGATGAGATCAATCACTAATCAATCAATAGAATACTTTAAACAGGTACATACAATAAAACCAGAATAATACCTAAAAAAACTAGACACAGTTAACTTTATATATAGGTAAAATTGATTGATATTTAGGTACACTAGTCATCAGGTCCAGCTGTCATTTTATCTTTGTTATGTACATTATTTCTCTATAACCTTATATTGTCCTCGTAATCTGAAAGATGGAGGTTGATGTCGCTAGTAGGGTTCCAGCAGTGTTACCTTTAATAGTTTCTATCTATTTTTTACGTTTATACAATAATAACATTATTTATAGATAAGTATTACTTGTATTGGGATTATAACTTCTTTGTGACTTCTAGATATAATTACTTGTAAGGAATTATACGGGATTGATCACATCCGAATAGGCCACCCTGTAGTAATACTTCTAGTGCTGACGTTCGCATAGTCAATTTTTGGTAAAAAAATGCATTGAGTTACCTGTCTCATTCGTTGTCTCTGATAATACTATATTTTACAAATAACCTATATTGTCTGTGTCAAAATGTCAAATTTAACAGACTATTATAAATAAATCAAGGGTGGATAATGGAGATCAATCCTCGTAAATAATAAAAACCTACCCAGCGTCGGTAATGCAGGCAGATCCAGGCTCAAAGCCGTAGCATCCAGTTGAGGTTGAAACATGTTCTGAGGTTTGGCGCTTAACAGGTTTTTCAGCGCGGCGCTCGAACCCATCGCGATCATCTTGTGCTTCGAATGATTTAGACTGCTCAGCATCGTAGGCGCACCCATTTCCCAAAGGGCCTCTTGGTCCGCTTGACACTTGGCGGAAAGGTTCCATAATGTTCCGCAAGCGTTGCTAACTATGGTTAAACTAGGCGATTTCAGCTGATCCAGCAGGATTTGTAGGCAGTTATGGCGTCGCAGGATGGCTCTGTAGTCTTCTCTGACGGCTATTTGGCTGGAAATGTTTCTCAGGATACCTCCCGAATTTTCTATTATAGCTAACGATTTCGTCGGCGTTTTGTAGGTTAGTAAATCCACGAGGAAACCTAAGGCGCCGTCTACGGCGCATATTTCGGACTTATTTTCTGTACAATGTGCGGATAGGTTCCAAAGGGCTGATAATATCGACTTTAGAGTGTTTTCTTTGTTGTCCATCATGGCGGCTTTCATTAAACCCGTTACTGAACCGACTTCTCTTAAAATTTCTTTAGATGTAGAGTCTGCGCGCCAAGATAGGTTCCGTAACACGCTGGCTGTCACCTTTAATTAAAAACAAAAATATATATGTTCATCTCACCAACCGGTTATTTTAAATTCTTACCTGTCTTAACTCGTCACTGGAACTGTGTAGTTGAACGACCAAGGATCTCATGAAATCTTTGAAAGAACATAGCAATGCCTTGTTTCCGCTGTCACCAAAAGTGAGATTTGTCAGTGCCATACAAGCGTATCTACGCATTAATATACAGTGTGATTCAATTGAAGTGTTTACGTGCATTGTATGCTCCACCTGAAACGGCAAAGATTTGATTGTTGTGTCAAAGCGACAAATTTATATTTTACCTCAACTAACGTAGCAATTGTGTGTATGCCACCCAACTGGCAAATAGCTTGTCTGTGACCTTCATCAAATGATAACTTCATCAAATGGGCTACTGTTTGTACAGGATGCCTATCACCGTCTAAAAAATAGTTCACTGACAATGAGGAATATCAAAAATCTCCAAAACGATTCAGAGCAATAAAAAACTACTATCACATTTACATTATACAAGTAATAACATAATACCTTCCGAATTTGTACTACTGACGTCAATTTGGTCCAAATCTGTATTATTTTTTAGTGCTTCTGTGTAAGCTCGACAATGTTCTAGTAATTTTAACACTCTACTTTCTCGTTTCCTTAATTTTTCATCAGGTTGGGAATGAACTAAATTATGTAGAGCTTGTGCTGCTTTCTTTCTAGTATCACCGTCTCTATCGGACTGCACCAATTGAACAAGCAACGGTATACAACCTTCAATAAACAGAATATAATTCAAAGTTGTTCCGATATGGTATAATGTAGTACAAACCTGATTGGCGCATAGCAAGACAACTTTCAGGACAAGTGCTGAGAGCTAATAGCGTTTCACCCATATCAATATGCTCCTGTCCTCCTAACATTGATAAAAGGCTATGTACTACGTCCATTTTTGCTTCCAGCTGTTGGGAAGACCATTTACTTCTATCAGGACTGTCTAAAACCCTGTCCAGAGGTACCCCACCTGAACTGGATGCGAAACTCATTACACTAGTTACTTCCTAAAAAAAAAAAAAACGACAAATAAGATACATTTACTGCCTCATCAGTGGCGGCTTGTGGCCACAAAATTGGGGGTTCACATTGCGAGAATATTAGTCTTAGTACAGTTTTAGGTAAAAAACTTTCAAAGTTTTGGAAAGGTGTATTATAAAAACAAAGTTTTTTACCTAAATATGTACTGAGATATATATATATATATATATTGTCATTGTGAACCCCCAATTTTTTGCTAACGAGCCGCCACTGTGCCTTATATTAGCTATTTTCGAGGAGCCGATCCAGAATGTGTTCTAAATGCTAAGGTAAAAAGCATATACGCCTACATAAACATTTAAAAAATACAAATCCAGTTATTATATATTCAGAATATGTTCGGGATCAGTACCGCGAACCTAGGATATTATAATATTGACTAACCATTTGATTTCCGATATTTTTTCTGGCATTCTGTTGGTCCGCTTTTGTGCCCAAACTTGCAGGTTCTGAATTCCACATGGTTCTTTCTACCGGCCATGTGCCATGGTAAAGACCAGCAATACGATTGCTGTCTGGCGTCGGTTCACTGCTGACCGATAATTTTGTGCTATTTGTTGTAGCGCCCCCGTATTCGTCTTCGCTGCAAACGTTGTCGCCCTCGACACTGCTTGCGACTCCATGGTCGTACTGCAAAACGGCAATTAAGTAACAATAATTGTAATTATATAAAGATATGTTAAAATTTAAAAATATAACGTGCGTTAAAAAATATAAAAAGCAATTCTGTAATTTTAACTTGTCTCAATTAACATATTTTTGTTTTGTTTTTCTTGGGATAGAGGTGGTACTTTTTATTATAAATAAAACTACAGTTTTATCTCAAATTGTAAAGATTTTCCTCTGTTTTGTGCCTTATTCAGTACTTTTTATTTATTTTAGTTATTATGTTTTAGTAAGTAATTTTTAAGTATCTTTTATCTTCTAGGTATTTATTTTTATTTATAAACTAGTCACAACGAAATAGGTATCACTCAATTAATTATCTAAATCTTTTTAAATGTCCCCCGCATTTTCCATTAAAATTTATACAAATAACAAGCACAACTAAATGCATATTTGCAATGTAAAAAAAAACAAAACTTTTTTATGAGGAGGTGAGAAAAAAAAAAAATATATATATATATATATAATTAAAAGTATCTGATACATTCAGTTTTACTTTGTACACCAATTAAATTGTAACATTAACAATTGACTTGAAATTATGAATAACGATCTTCTTGGAAGGCCTATTGTACAAAGAAGGCATCTAAGTGAAATTGAAGTAGCAAGAGCCGTTACACTATTACAAGAAGGACGTTCGCAAAGATACGTAGCCCGCTTGCTTCAAACAAGTCAACCAACAATTCACCGAATGTGGAATAGATTTCAGGACATAGATATTATCTGTAGAAGACCATATACACCACGAGAAAGAATAACTCAAAAATGAAATGTATGGTATTAAATCAAAATTAGTTCATTTGTACCGCAAAAATCTATTCTATAAGCAGAAATAGGGGTCTATTCTGTAACAATTCCTTTATATTTAACGGCATTTAAAAATATTTTCTTCTTTACTTCTGTCATTATTTAAACGGATATTTAAAATACATTAGAGGACTATCCTAAAGAAATCTGTTTAAATAATGATTGAAGTAAATTAACGAATACGAAACTATTTTTAAAGGCCGTTAAATATAAAGGAATTGTTACAGAATAGACCCCATAATATGTTAAAAATGTAACACATGTGTTTTTATTCCTTTTTTGAAGCTCTTATTAACTTTTTTACTTAGATAGTGATTGATTTGTTGTAGAAGGCTGGGTTACTTTTGTTTTTATTAAAAATTTATGGCTTATCAAAGTTTATAAAGTGGAAATCTCTTTAAAATTTGGATATTTGAGCGCTTCTTTTTTCAATATTTTTGAACATAAACAGACAGATACAATAGAGCATGACGGTAAGTAATGACATTCACTTGATGGTCCTTAAAACTGTCCACTTTTTATTATATTATTGTAAATTTGAACTATTTTTAACATAGGTAGGTATGTTTATTTTGTTGAAAATTTAATACTCGTTAAAAAATAAACATATTGAATTACAGAATTACCACTATTTTGAAATTAACCGTAATTTTCTTTTTATCCGTATACGATTAAAGATTGATTGCGAATAAAACATCAACACCTTGTATCAATTTCATATTTATTAACAAGAGATAAATAACACTTACATTCGGTGAAGTAGAATTGTGTCTGCCGAGAAGTAATGATTCCATGGTATAATCTAATGGTTCAGACGACCCATTGTTCTGTAACAAAAAAAAGTAATTGTTTAATCCATTTCAGTCTTATTGTTTTATTTCTTAATAATAAGCTATTAGCGATTATTGTCGTAAATATATCGATTAAAAGTGCTGATAGACAGTTTATTCTTGACGGTATAGAGGTCAAAACGCGTAATAAATAGAAAAATCATTTTAAAATGTTGAGAAAATGGTTATTTGTGTAGTAAGGAAAGTAGCACTTTGGTAGTTGAGTTACTGTTCGAATTATAAACATTTTTTTCTATGATCACACCAAAATAAAACAAATAATTTTATTTTATTAGAAATAGGTTACCTGCTTTTGTTATAATATTGTAAGTTTATTTGATATAAGCCTACTTTTCGAAGAGAAAAAATTGTTTTAGTACTCATATGTCGGTAATTGTTTGATTTAATAATTTAATTATTTACAGAAAATACTGTTGGATGATTTTAAATAACTACTAGCTCTATTTTATCTATAAATAACATTAGGCGTACGCCAAAGTTACTTTCCGCTTAAGAGCGCCAATAATGTCAAATTATGATAGCTTGCAGAAAATATCAACTTTGCAGTTAATTTTCAAGGCGCAAAAGCCTACTTTCGATAGTGATTGTAGAAAAAGCAATATCTGACAACCTCTGAAAAAGTATCTTTGTCCTTATTTTCTTCGGAGTTTAATGGGTTTGTTAGTAATATGTGGTTTAACCCCCATGCTCACATGATCTATATACGAGGGCTGATCTCTAGGCTCCACCACTGACCCACTTACAATAAAAAATTGGCAAATAATATCTTCAACAAGTTTATAATTCTATCGTGAGTCTATACATAATAGGTTACAATGCAACGTGAAAATAAATAATTGTTTTAATTTATAAATGGGTCAGGGGCGGCGCAAAGGGATAAACCCTCGTATATAGTTCAACTATATTCTCCTGACTTTCGCCTCACTTTCGGGGGTTTCTTTTTTCTTACTTTTTGGACTTGTTTGCAGAGTGTTAATTTTTTTAACATAACTTTGATCGGGTAGACTGCTTGTTCACTATTTTTTCTGCAAAAGTTCCTTATTAAGGACCCCCCGGGTAGAGTATTTGATTCCCAAATTATTAATTAGATAAATCTTTGTTCTCATAGTTTGTTTTCTGTTACACCTTCTGGTATATAGTTCCTAATAGAATTCCTGATGGAAATCGATTTACAGGGATTTTAATGAGCAACGCTGATTTAATTTGCTCCTCAGGTAAACGTGTAAAATGAGCAATGGCTTTAATTAACTAATCGATTTTAATTCGACTTGTATCACGCTACTGGGAATTAATCTCCAAACCGCGTATCATGACCACATCCATAACAACCTTCCTCTTGTAATTTATAACAATTACAAACCACAGACAGACCATTTTTTTCATACCAATGGCCAGGGCAGGTTTTTAAACTTTTGTTATCAAGAACAGACAGTGCGTTCCAAAAAAAAGTAAAAGGATTTTTTTTTATAAAGCAAATTAAATATTTTCTACACCAACACGGAAATTAGCTTCTCTACGCACAGACAACAAAATGAAAAAGTATGCTATTAGTTCAACTGAAGATTAAATATATATTAAAACGACTTATTCTTTCTTCTGTAGCTATTCTAAGCAATTTCGCAAAAGTATTCGAATTAGTAATCCATAATCACCTTGCATTTCATGCCAGTAATATTATCATACCCGAACAACATGGCTTCACATCTGGTAGGTCCACAGTGACTAATCTATTCTGCGTAACCCAATTCATTTGTGAAACGCTGGAGAAGAAAAGTCAAGTTGATATTATCTACACTGACTTTTCTAAACCATTTGATAAGATTGATCATGGCCTACTTTTACATAAGCTTAACTTATTCGGAATAGATGACAGGTTAATTGCTGTATTTAAATCTTATCTTTATGAACGCACTCAATACGTTCAAACTTTAGGATATAAATCTCAACCTTTTCTTCAAACTTCCGGTGTCTCACAGGGGTCTATATTGGGTCCTTTACTTTTTAATATTTTTATAAATGACATCACCGAAGATCTTGATATTGATAAAGATATGTATGCTGATGATATTAAACTATTCTGTGAGATAAACTCCGTCAATGACTGCTTGAACCTCCAGCGAAACCTTAATCATGTTAATAATTTGTGTATCAGAAATAAGCTCCCTATGAATCCAAGTAAATGTAACGTAATGTCTTTCTGTCGGAAATAATCAACTATCCAATTTAATTACAATTTAAGTAATATTATCCTCGACAGACCAGATATCCTAAAAGATCTAGGTGTTTATTTTGATCCAAAGTTATCTTTTATTCCTCATATACAAAAAACAATCTCTTCAGCATATCGGTCGCTGGGTTTTATTCTTAGAAATGCGAAATGTTTTAATAATATTAATACATTGAATCTTTCGTTTTCGGCTTTTGTAAGATCGCAACTAGAATATGCTTGTGTTATTTGGAGCCCGAATTATAATATTCATATTTCCGCTTTGGAGCTAGTGCAAAGAAGATACTTTAAGTCGGCCTCTTATATCTTGGACGGTCTTTATCCCGCTAGAGGCACACCTCAAGAACACTTTTATATTCGTTTTGATAGCTGTAGTTTAATTCGTCGTCGGTCAATGCATTCAATTATGTTTTTATATAAAATTGTTAACTATATTTTTAAATGTGATAATATTGTATCGTCACTAAATTTCAGAGTTCCTAGACCAAATTCTAGAACGAACAGTCTTTTTTATGAATTACCACATAAGACAAATATTTACAAATATTCTCCGTTGAATCAGCTCATCATTGACTACTCTTCAATTGAACCTAGTATTGATATTTTTTGCACAAACGCTGCTCAACTTAAAAAACCATTATTCGGGGTAATTTGTAGGAAGGACGGATGTCCAGAATTTGGTCAATAATTTCATATGTACCCATGTGTGTAATCTTAGAACATAGCTGCATATGAGTGCTTACTTTTTTTCCCTAAAGGGTTTTTTTCAGTGAGCATTCATATATAGCTTAACAGATATAGGGGTCTATTCTGTAACAATTCCTTTATATTTAACGGCCTTTAAAAATATTTTCTTCTTTACTTCTGTCATTATTTAAACGGCTCTTTAAAATACATTAAAGAACTATCTTAAAGAAATCTGTTTAAGTAATGACAGAAGTAAATTAACGGATACCAAAATATTTTAAAGGCCGCCAATATTTTTAAAGGCCGTTAAATATAAAGGAATTGTTACAGAATAGACCCCATACTGCTTTGTATTATTATTTTTTGTTCCTGTATTTTGCTGTGTTTGTCCTTATCCTGTAATTGGGCTTTCCCGAGGATATTGTAATAAATAAATAAATAAATAAATAAATAAATAAATAAATAAATAAATAAATAAATAAATAAATAAATAAATAAATAAATAAATAAATAAATAAATAAATAAATAAATAAATAAATAAATAAATGATAGTATTTCTATTTTTATTTGATCTATAATTATAAATAAAACTAGATGAAGTCAATTATTTAATTTCCAGTATTAAAGCAAAAAATTAACAACGTAGATGGTGGCGAGGTCAGCGCACTTGCCTTTCATGCGGAAGGCCCAAGTTCATATCTCGGATGGGGACAAATTAAATGTTTCTTTTTTTTTTCTTGTTTATTTTATTTTATAAATTAGTAAAAGTCATAAAATAATTTTTAAATTAGTTAGTTTATCTTAATAACCTAAAATAATTTTTAATATTTGTAGATTTTTGTAGAAAAAATATACTGTACTGTACTCGAGTGGATTATCCATATCCATATTGTTGCGCAGATTACTATTGTTTTATATATGATTTCTCTAAAATGGACCATCATTGAAAAATTTTAGGAAAAGTGTAAAATTTTATTTTTTCAGTATTTTCGTTGGCAATAAATATATATAAAAAAATGTTTAGAGTAAGATGTGGGTGGAAAATGTTTGTGTTTAGAGAATAACCGGAAAAGGCCCATAGTAACTTTAGGTAAAATAGGAAAGTCATCAGATTTTTTTGAAATCAACAGAGACCCAATATGTATTTGGTGTGGGTACCTTTGATAGTACTATCGAAACATTTGAAGAAGCAGAAGCATTATATACGAGTATAATATCACAACATGATCAATAAATTGATTTCTCGCAATTATTACTGGTTTTTGCAGAGCGATTGTGGTTACCTTGGCTACTACCACGCTGTAATTTGCTTGCATCCTTGTTTTCACACCTTCGAAATGAAAACAAATCACTTTTGAATAAATTCTTCCTCTGTTCCTTTTAAGATCGCCATGTAGGATGGGAATCTATATTTTTTTCATTTCGTGATACATAAATCTTTTATGGTTTTGTTTGTAGATATTAAATAAAGCAGGATGTAGTATTTACTATGTTATTATTTCTGATTTAGCGAGTTGTACAATAGACAGTTAAAACGTAAACTTAGTTTAAACTGTAAACCAAATTGTATAAACAGTACAAAAAATAAAAACAAGGTTTAATTTTAACCGCGTATTGTACAATCCGTAACTTGGGGGTTCCACAAGGATCCAATCTTGGACCTTTGTTAATTTTACTTTTTGTTAAAGATATATGTGAGGTAGTACAGAGTGAAAAACTTTTATTTGCAGACGACATGAAAATATACGGAGTGGTCCAAAAGTCTGGAAACGGCCAATTATCTCGTAAATTGCTAGTCCTAATTGTACAAAATTTGGGGTACACCTATTTTGGGATACGGAGATTTCAGATTTGATATTTGCAATGTTGCCAGATTTGCCGTTTCTCTATTATTCACTTGTAAGAAGCAAACTCGAATATTGCTAGATTATCTGGGACCCCTATCAGAATAAATACGTACAACTACTTGAGAAAGTTCAGAAAATATTTTTAAAATTTGCTTACTTAAAAAAATATGGTATATATCCTGAAAGAGGTTCCAATTATGAATTATTGTTACAG